CCCCAAAACCCCAAAACCCCAAAACCCCAAAACCCCTTTTATAAATAAAATTATTGAAACTGATTAAAATTATAGCTCACTGGAGTCAAGAATCAATTTCTTATCCTCCTCAACAACAACTGTTATCCCAGTATTTGTATTATTCTCAATTTTAGACATGTGGCCTTCAAAGTCATGAAGAGATTTATCCACCTGGTTGGCCCCCATTCCTGTAGGATTGCCATAATTGATACTACTCATGCCTCCGTTATTATGATCCATCTCATCGATAGTTCTGCTCAACTCCGAAAGAGTGTCTGTGTTCTCGATCATCTTTCACTTCTCATTAAGGATTTCATTCTTAATCTGGGCTTCCAAGTTTTTACTTCTGGTAGTCACTCATTAAATTTCTCTTCATCCCTATATATTAGATCAGGATTAATGAACCTTCTTGTAATCTCTTTTCTAAAGTTTCGATTTTTGAGAGCTTTACTCGGTTCTTTGGGTTAATTAAATCTAAGATATTTGGCTCTTTATTTATATTTTTAAGTTCATCCTCCTTTTTGATAGGAAATTCTTTAAAATAAGCTTTCTTCTTTCCTCTAGTAAGGATATGTTTTAGAGCTTTCAAATGATCCAGCTCTCAAATATACATAGCTGCACTGTTATAAGTTTGTCCATTCAAACCTCCAAAAATTATAAGCTGAGTTCCTGAGAGAGTAGAGCCAAAGTTGTACCTCTGCTCAGGTATTTCCCCATGGCATTTGACTTTAGTCCAGATGTATAGGTTTCAGCTCAACATCCATATATCATTCAATACTCATTTTGTTGCATTTCCGAAGGTATCATTTCTTCCCCCGAATAGTATTAGTTTGTCTAATTCCTGAGAATAATGCATGGTATGAGCATATCTTGGACTCGGACTTGGACCATTATTTATCGATATATTTTTGCAGATTTAGCCAGTTTCATGGCGACTTTCCCATCACGAGAACATAAAGATTTCCTTTAACTTGGCCACTATTATCTTTACCACCAAAAACATATAATCCTTCGTATTGAATAATGGTGGGACTTGGCAATCTATGCTGATCTCTATCATACAAAGAAAATGGTTTTGTCCCTCCTTCGCTGATTCTATGAACAACAAGGCATCCAGCATGGAAAGTTAATTGTCCAGGTGATCCGTCAAGGATCAGTGGGTTTGCTTTCAAATTCTCTACTTTATATTTCAAGCTATTTCTATTTTCCCGAGTATTCTTCTTTTTCCTCTGAAAAATTATAGGCAATTTGACTCTTTGATTACTTGTTTCAACAAGCCCTTTCCATCCAAAGTCTTTCAAAGACAGCATTACCAGGCTATCATGGAGCTTTCCATTTTCATCTTGGCCTCCATATGCTACAAATTTATCCCCAACAACAAAGGAGATATGGTTTCTTCTATGAGGGAGCATATTATTGTTTGCTTTAGCTGGTCTATCCCATTTGCCTGTGATTGTATTGTACATTACGAAGCCTTGGAAGATATCCCCTACCTTGAATCCTCCTCTAAACTTCTTTAAACCTCCATAAAATAGCAGGTATTCATTGTAAACAGTGCAGGAGTGAGCGAGTCTTGGCTCAATAAAGACATCATCATTAATAGTTTCCATCCTCTCCCATTTCCATTTAAGGATGTCTCAGGTTAAAAAGTCTCCTAGGCAGTCATGTGAGAGCCCTCCAAAAATATACAGGCGCTGGTCTACTTGTGCCATGGTGAACTGCTCTCTGACTTCTGGCATGAGCCTATGGCTCTGGATTTTCCTCCAGTAGAATATATCTTGGTCAATTCCAGGCACATATTTCCTTGCTTCAGAAATAAGTTTCACATTTTTCACATCCTGATGTTTATTTTTACTCCCTCCACTAACAGGAACTTCAGAGAAAGAGTCATTGTCTTTTGATATTTTTTGGATTCTTATCTCAGGCATCTCCTTGTCTTTCTAAACAAGTTAGATAGCTCGACTGCTTACCTTCTCCTTGGCCTCTCTGATCGTGTCAAGGTATCACTGACTTCTGTACCGGTTTAGTGCTTTGCTGATTTCTAAATTAAGATACTTATTTCTTTGCAAGACACCTTCAGCATGATCAGTATTATTATAGACCTTCTTCTCAATCTCAGGTTTGCTAACAAAATTGCTAATGAGTCTTGCATTTCTATATGAAAAATGATGAAATCTTATAATTAACAAATAGCCTTACCTTATCTTCTGATTTTTGGAAGTGGGGTTGCTCCACTTTCCAATAGTCTTATAGCCAAGCATATCCAGCTTCTTCTTTCTAAACCTGTGAGAGGAGTTTATACTTTAATAATTTTATTCTCAAGTTCATGGCTCTGATAGTAGCCTCGTTATTTTATTGACAATTTAGTCTCTTTATCACCTTCATCTGATTCTTCATTCACCATTGAACGATGGGCTACTGACGAAGGATTGAAGTATGTGTTCCTGTACATATTGCCGATAGTCTCATCGAGATCTTCCTGCTCTGTATAATGGTTAGTGAGATTTAGGATGATGAAATTAATAGATAGTAAATTCTTATAAAGTAGTCCTTACTGGTGCCGGTCCCAATGTCAAATGGATTACTGATAACATCTCTAGTAGAGATGAGGGAGGGTAGAGAGGAGCTATGCCTGTTTCTCTTCATTTTATTTCAATAAATTTATTATCTTTTGGGGTTTTGGGGTTTTGGGGTTTTGGGGTTTTGGGG